CTCTCTTTCTCTCTCTCTTTCTCTCTCTCTCTCGTCCATTTATCATTATCTTTCTCGTTGTTTTTTTTGTTTTTGTTTTTGCTCGTTGTCTTTCTCGTTATATGTCTTGCTATCGTTCTCTTTTTCCTTTCTGTTTCTTTCTCCTTGTCTCTTTCCCGTTGTATTTATCCCTTTGATAGCAATGCGCTTGAGCCCTTTCTACAGTTAAGCTAAAGCTCCTAGAGACGCAGCCCCTGCAAGGCGTGTGCTTCCTGCGCAGAGCGTACATCCGGCGCGTGGTGCTGGAGGCGCCGAGCCATATGGTGCGCGAAATGTCGGACGCGGGCATGGACTCCCTCATGGAGGTGTGCAAGCAGCATCGTCGAGGCTTGCCCGGAGGCATCATCTTCCCAGGTGAGCAACCCTACTTCCTGCGTCTCTTGAAGTGAAATAGGAATAATTATTTTCATTTGCCGGGAAATCCGTGATAACAATATGAGTAAGATGTTTCCGGACGATGTGACGTTAGGAGCGTAGCCATATTTTTTTTCGAATTTGGAAACGAATTCTCTCATAATGACTTCCCGGAAAAGTGGCGTTCAACTTTTTCCTCAACTGTGTCACATTTCCTACTTTTTAATTAATGATGCAAACGGCCTTCACTATTTACGAGTGAGGAATACTACAGTCCTCTAGACAGTTGTAATGGTTCGTTGTTGTCGATGTAATTAGAATATAATCAGAAGTAAAATCCGAAACTATCTGAGAAGTAACTGTTCAGAATTATTCAACTTTCCAGCTCACTTTAAGGTACGTCAACTGCACGTGGAATGAATCAATTATGTTTATGACCTTTAAGTTGTGAATAAGAGTTTTATTTATCGTGTGTAATCAGTTCGGTAATGTGCTTTGAGTGGGTGATTTATTTCGTTTGAGACTATGCTGAAAGCGGTAAGCTATGAATTACTTGTGGTTATGAATTTTTGCTTGAAAAGATGTGTATTATCTCATAAATACATTAATTCTGCGAGAACGACGAAAAATTCATCGAACCGTCGACAAGTATTAAAGAAAAGTTTTACATTCACGACCTTCTCTCAGAAACAATTCTTTCGAGAGTGGTGCGATTGGTAGTTAGCGCACAATTGTCAAATACGATTGTGGTTGAGGCTGTAGGGTTTCAAGGGCGAGATCATTCTAAAAAAATATTCCTTTGGAAGAAACGTAAAGCTGTCTGGCTTATTACACTTATTCGCTGCGAGTAAAAGCAAGCATTAATGAGATCTCGGAAATAATTCTGAATCATCTCACTACCCTAATAATTCTTTACCGCACTACTGGAAGTCAATATGGTAGCAGACCTGACATGATTCTCACATGATCACTTCGAAAGGAATCAAATTCCTGGCCGAAATAGAAATCGTCAGATCTTCGGTAGTGAACTACCTCTGACGTATAGTGAATCAGAATATCAACGATTTTTCGGATGAGTCGTGCACCAAACTGTCCAGTGTTTCAGTCTCACTCTTTCAGTGTTCAAAATCAGCTCTTCTTCATAAACGGAGAATTCAATCGTCTTATTGTAATTGCTTATTAAAAATGTGCTCTACAATTTCTTATAGCGTAAGGTGCAGACGGTAGCTTCTTGATCCTTTTCGAAATACTTTTCGAAAATGTTGGCATATCTTTAATAATCGTTCCTCGCACAAGTTTTTCGTAAGTTTTCTTGTATGAACGTAATAAATATTTCCTCTTCTTGAGGCAAAATTACTCTAATCGTGGCAAAATTAAAATATGAGTGAATTAAGGAGAAAAATGTTTATATCGTACGGCGAATAATTATTCAAGAATAATATTCGAGAATCGTGACATCAAAGAGATCCTGAAACATCTTACATCTTAATTTAATGTCCTCTTAATTTGTTATTTATTTAAAACAATAGTGTGAGATCTAAAGTATGACGAATGAATTAAAATGATGTGAAATACGGCGAAGAAAAATTAAATTATAACAATAATGAGTATTGAAATTAAATTTTATTAACAATAATTAATATTGAAATTATATTTTATTAACCTCTGTGTTATAACCTCTCCAGAATTATTAAATACATGCCAAAAACCTGTCAGTCTGGAATGTGATAAAATCACGAAACGTAATTAAACTATAATCAATTTAGTGATTCTTATTTCACCAAAAGTCTTAAATATTTTATACTCCATTGTATCCACATCTGAAATTTTCCACTGAAATAACTTCAAAACCAACAAAATTAATTCATTTTGCAATAGAGCACTTCCGAGGTTTCATTTCGATAACCAACTTCCTCTCTGTAAATTATTGTGTAAACTCTGTTCTTGTGAACGCTCAGGGACCAAGTGGTGCGGCACCGGAAACATCGCCGTGGGCTACCACGATCTGGGCGAGAAGGAGGCAGAGGACAGCTGCTGCCGGGAGCACGACAACTGCCCTTCCCAGCTGGGCCCCGGGGAGTGCCGCGGAGGCCTCTGCAACAACACCCCGTTCACCACGTAAGCACCCCCCCACCCC